AGGCTGAGGCAGGAGACTCACTTGAGCCCAGGAGTTGGAGGTTGCTGTGAGCTGTGATGTCACAGCACTCTACCCAGGGGGATAGCTTGAGGCTCTGTCAAAAAAAAAGAAAAGAAAAGAAAAAAAGTTACACAAATTGCAGGAAGTTGAAATCAGCAAAACAGGGGTGGTGCCTGTGGCTCAAGGAGTCCCAGGGTGCTGGCCCGATATACAAGGGGTGGTGAGTTCAAACCGGGCCCTGGCCAAAAAAAAAAAAAAAAAAACCCTGCAAAAAAGAAATCAGCAAAACAATCTTCTAGTTGGAGACACACAGACAGGAGTGGCCCTGGGCAAAAAACACAGAGACAGGAGGGAGTTTACATTTGTTGAAATATAACAGAAACATAATTTGCATACCAATAAATAGTGAACTTCTGCAAAGTTCCACTTTAACCCATCAACAAGGGAACCATTAGGACGACAAAGCTCTTTCAAGGAAGAATTCAGGCAACTGACGTACATATGGCCAATGGAAAAGGGGGAGGGGTGTAGAAAACTGGTTATGGTTCTAACCCTAGCAGGGTCATTTGCATTTTTACAGGACATCACTTACATTGTCAGTGGAAAAAAATTTTGCTCTTGTTAGGCCTAGGCTAAAGTAGAAAAATACCAGTTAACTCCTGGCAAATTTCTGGGCTGCAAACACTCTACAAAATAGAATAAGTCTGGTTCACTCCCAAGATAGATGGGAAAGTATTCACTAACTTCTTGCTTGACTAACTCCCCTGAGAAACGGACTGGTAAGTACCAACTATCCCCGGACTGACCTTTTCCTACCAGGTGGGGAAAATATTAAAACAAAGAGGTTATGACGCATGGCTAACTAACCGCAAATCTCTGCTTCTCTACAATGCTTGTTTGCTACCCTACCAGAAGCACCTGGACAGCCTGCGTGCCAACCAGGATGCAGACTAAGCCTTAAAAACCCGACCCCTTAAGCACTCAAGGCTGCTTTGAGAAACCCCATGTTGGGACACTGAGGCAGTTGCCAGCCAGCTGTTCAATAAAAGGACTCTGCTATAAATTTGCCTTGTTTGGCAGTGTGGTCTTTGTGGAACTCCTGTGCACAACAGTCTCTCTCTAGCCATCTCAAGCTTTCAACTTAGTTGTTCTAAAGTTAACTTTTTAAAAAAAAGATTTCTAAAATACTTCCTTTTTTTTTTTTTTGAGACAGTCTCAAGCTGTTGCCCTGGGTAGAGTGCCGTGGCATCACAGCTCACAGTAACCTCAACTCCTGGGCTTAGGTGATTCTCTTGCCTCAACCTCCCAAGTAGCCGGGACTACAGGCACCTGCCATAACACCTGGCTAGTTTTTGGTTGCAGTTGTTATTGTTGTTTGGCAGGCCCAGGCTGGATTTGAACCTCCCAGCTCTGGTGTATGTGGCTAGCACCTTAGCCACTTGTGCTACAGGCACTGAGCCTGTAAAATACTTTCTTAGTAAATAGCACCTCAAAGGTTGAGGGAGGTTTGGCAGGTGTGTCAGAGGGTTCCCTAGAATGACACTGAAGGTCGCTGGCATCCTTTCTGCCTTGCCTGGCAAGCTCTGGTTGTAACAGGTACAGTTTAGTGGTGCATGTTCTATAGTCACCAATGAGTATGTGCTTTGAAGGCTAGGAAAGTGACCTTGCCTCAGGTGACATCTATTTCCCTGAACCACTTCCTTCCACTTCCAGTTACAGATAGTTAATGTCCTTTATGCTCATCCATTATCCTCACACCCCCTGGTCTCCCTACTCAGCCCTCTACAGCATAGTTATTTAAATGACTCTCTCTCCCCTAGGTTCTGGGCTCAGTTTTCTCCTCCACCTATACAACCTGGCCCCCAGCTTGGGGTCCACCCTTTCTTATAAGTTCAATAAATGCTTGTTGAAAACCCTTATGAACGAGGTGGGGTCTTAACAGTGCTGTGAAAAAATTAGTGACTTCAAGGAAGTGGGTGGTCAGCAGAGGTTAGGACACAAGCACTCAGCAGCAGTTCTCTGCCAGGCAAGAGGGTGAATTTCAAGGCGGTGGGGGCAATTGCGGTGAAGTTCAAGTAGTGCCAGGACAGGAGGTGCTGGTATAAAAATACGGACGCTTAAGTGGGAGGTTAGGGTGTAGGAAGCCCTCTGGCATACTTAGGTATGCTTCCTGGCCCTTTGGCTGTCCTGTTACCTAACCAAGAGGGTCAGGCCACCTGTCACTGTCAGCCAATATACAGAGATGGGGATAGGTCCACCAAACTTTGTCAGAAGGCCAGCGATTCTGGAGAGCAGTGAGAGCAGCCTCCCTAAGACTGTTCTGTTCTTCCATCACCCAAATTAGTTTTTTTTTTTTAATTGAATGGTAACTATGTACATTAATGCACTTCTGGGGTACAGTGTGGGGTTTTCACATGCAATCTGAAATATTTCCATCAAACTGGTCAACACAGCCTTCATGTCATTTTCTCAGTTATTGCTTTAAAACGTTCACATTCTACTCTTAGAAAGATTCACCTGTACCCCTATAAGATAAACCTCAGAAGTGATCCCTCCAAACCCCCTCCCTCCACCCATTCCCCCTCCCTTCTCCCTCACCCAAATTAGTTTTAAACGTAATAGTTCACAGTAAAGACTACAATAACACTTCTCTTAAAAAAATTATCAGCACAACACAGTGACCATCTATTACAACATTTCTAATCAAAAGTTATTTCCTAAACTATTCAACATGGGCATCTTTAGGGCGGGAGTTAAATTGACAAAACAGTAAGAATGGGACACTGAAGCAAGAGACCAGCTGTGTCAAGTTCGCCTCAGCCTGACAGACTTTCTTATTCTTACTACCTGTGTTTTCACTTCTTATCGCACCTAGGCAGCTTGCGTAGCCCCGGAGGTGCGCGGTAACCCAAGTGCGGGCCACCAGGGTCAGAACAAGCCTCAGCCCCGGGGACCTCGCGCTTTTGAAGCCCGGTCCCCCTCACCGGCTGGGGCGTCCGACAGCTCCTCCCCGCCTCGCGCCCCGCCTTTGGAGCGCACCCCTAGCGCAGGTCTCTGGCAAGCGAACCGGGCCCCCAAAGCCGCGCGGCCGCGCCTCAGGCGTTCCCGGAGTCCCTGGCGCGCGCCGGCGGGACGTGTCGGACGCGCGCCCGGCGGAGGGCGGGGCGTGGCCACTGTGCGCGGTGCGTTCCCGATCCCCGCTGCCTCGCCTCAGCTCCCAGAGCGCCTCTGCTCCGGCTCGAGCTAATCTGCCGGCGCCTGTGACCCGCACCCAGCGCGACCGGGAGGCGACGCGGACGAGCTATGAGTGGCCATCCGGGGAGGGCGGCGGCGCTGCTGCTCGGGCTGCTCCTGGAGGTAGGGGCCGGGCCGCGCCGCCCGAGACGCCCCTGGGTGTGCTGGAGTGGAGGGGCGCGGTTCCGGAGCGTCCCCGAGGCTCTTCTCGCGTTGCACAGTGGTCCGGACCGCAGGCCGGGGGATCTGCGCGCGTCCTGGGCTGGGCGGTGTGGGAACGCCAGTGCCGGGAGGCCCCTGCGGTCCCTCCTGGTTCCAGTCCGTTCTGCCTTCTGTCCTCGCAGCCCTCCCCGAGTACCCCTGGAGGGCTCGTTTCTCTCTCCCGCTCCTGCTTGAAGCATCCGGGAGTGACCTTTGCGCGCCGTGGGGCGCCCGCAGCGGGGGCTCGGTGCAGGCAGAGGTGCGACGCGGGAGGGCGGGGGGTCCCGAGGCGTGGCGCAGGCGCGGAGAGTCCCGAGCGTCGGAGGTCAGGGTTGCCACGCGCGAGCGGGGAAAGCTTTGGGAAGTATCGTGGGACTGCCCGGGGAACAACAGCAGGAGGAAATGACCCAGCTTGTTAAAATGACTGCCACCCTGGTGGGGACCGCGACCGCTCTGGCCGGAAAGGGACGTCTTGTGATAGGGGCCGCCCCCTTCTGTCTCAGGCAGGTTCTCCAAAATGGGAGTAGAGAATTCCTAGGTATAGGGTCTGAATTAGGGCTTGGGCAACTGCCTTCTCAGTTTCTTTATTTTGAAGGAGGTCTGCATTAAATTAAACCACTTTAGAAACCATAAAAAGGTTTTAAATTAATGGAGTCAAAGCCAGTGGGTGAAGACTAACTTAGGTCTCATGGGTCCTCTCATTTTAGAAAGTTATAAACTCTTTCTCTTAACAGTTGAAGATGAGGGCTGGCAATGATGACCTGCACATCATTTTCTCATTTATTGTAAAGTAATTGTTGCAAAATGTTGGAGGAAAAAGTTTAGTTTTCCTGAGAAGGTTGATGGAAAATTTCTTCTTGCTCCAGACTCCGCCGCAGTCAAGACTCAAGACTTCCTGTTTTTTCTCACACACCACCCCCCCCCCCCGTTGGTATTTATTGTTTTTGTGACTGTCTCTTCCTCCCCTGCGTTCTTTCCATTTGTTTTTAGAATCTTAAGACCTTAGGAATCACATCCTCTCAGTGACTCACCTTAGAGAACAAAGGAGATGTGAGAGACTACTATTTACCTGAAAACAAGTGTGTGTGTACAGTGTACCAGAGACTATCCTGTAATCCTTTCTTTTAAAAAAGAAGGAAAAAAAAAACCTATGATGCTTGATGAAATTACCAAGTGCTGGTCCCTTTTGTTCTAGTCTGTGCCATCTATGTCTCCCAGGCCTTTAGTCTGTGCAGAACTGTGTCCTGTGTGTAGCCTAAAAAGCCTCCAGACTCATTTCTTTCCAAAATAGCTAATGTGTTGCATAGGAACTTATCATCTTAATAGGAGTTCAAATTATGTCTGAAAGATTGGAATGACCTTACAGGCAGAAGTATGATTAAACTAAAAACCTCAGTGACTAAGATGATGCTTTCACTAAGTGGGATATCTGGATAACTGGTAATTTTTGTTTTCAAGGGAATAATTGGAGTTAGTCACTTTTACAATGTGAATAGTTAAGCTCTTACTTTATCTGTGGTGAAGCAATGTCTCTCCGAAGAATTAAGGAGTTTTTAAAAAATAATTCAACATGTGGAATTTTATTTTATTTTTTTTTAATTAAAAAAAAATTTTTTTCTTTTTTTTGAGACAGTCTCAAGTTGTTGCCCTAGGTAGAGTGTGTGGCATCATAGCTCCCAGCAACCTCCAACTCTTGGGCTCAAGTGATCCTCTTGCCTCATTTTTTCTATTTTTGATAGAGACAGGGTCTCCCTTTTGCTCAGGCTGGTCTCAAACTGGTGAGGTCAAGCAGTCCACCCTCCTAAGCCTCCCAAAGTGCTAGGATTACAGGGGTGAGCCACTGTGCCAGGTCTAATATGTGGAATTTCATACATGAGATTTATAGCTGACATTTTACATCTTGAATTGGTTGCCCTGATATAGTTTATCAGAATACCTGTGATGCTTTTGAAGTCCTGAATGGCACACACAGCCTGTGAGGAGGCCCAAGGTGTCTTTAAGTTGAGTGCATAAAAACAATTGTAGGGGCTATTGGATGACTCCAGCTTCTGCCTGCTGGCTGCAACCTGGGACATTTTCTTTTGTGTCTTTGTTGTGCCTGAGCTGGTTTCAAAGTATAAATTTGCTGTGTAGTTCATCATAAAGCACCTGGAATTTGGGGGGGGGGGAGGGCTGTGGCAGTGGCTATCCATCCCTCCCATAGCACACTGTCCCTAGCCCCTTGGCACCAACAGGATCATGCCTGGGGGGTTTGCATGTTAGGTGAGAGAGTTTGGTCAGGAGGGAGTCTAAGCCTTGCTGTGAGACAGACTTTCCTCCCCTCCTCTCCATCTCTTTCTAGAATTAACTTTACTGTCAGACATGAAACTGCATATTTAGTTTTGCATAGCAGACATTCACAGTGAGCTTACCCTATGGCAGGCAGTGGCACACTTTATTAATTGATTGGGCAGCGCCCAGTTAATTGTGACTCAGTGAGTAGGGCCCCATATACCGAACCCCATATACCAAGAGTGGTGGGTTCAAACTAGAACCTGGCCCTGGCCAAACTGCAACAAAAAATAGCTGGGTGTTGTGGCAGGCGCCTGTAGTCCCAGCTACTCTGGAGGCTGAGGCAAGACAATCTCTTAAGCCCAAGAGCCTGAGGTTGCTGTGAGCTGTGATGTCACAGCACTCTACTGAGGGTGACAGAGTGAGACTCTGTCTCAAAAATAAATAAATATCAATTGATTAGTTTTCCATTAGCAAGTACTTTGATCCTCATTTTTTATTTCAAACGGGAGCTGATCAATAAAGTGTCCCAAGTTTAACACCTGACTTGTGAGGGCTGAGGTGTAAGCCCAGGCAGTCTGATTCCAGCATGAACACCGGCGTGTAGGGAGTGTGTAGGTTGTGTGTGTCCCCAGGGGCAATGGTGTCCTTGGAGAAAAGTGTGTCTAGTTAAATAGATATGCCAGCAAACACTCTCCAGAAGCTCAGTCTCCTTTTCTAGAGGGACTGTGTTAGTCAGCGCAGGCACTGTTGACGGTTTGGACAGTGAAGCAGCTCCTTACCACAGGCTTCAGAAGGGCTGCAGGAGACCTGGTTGTTTGCTTAGCCTCAGGTAGGGCTTGAGAAGGAACAGGGGCCCACAGTGCCATGCTCCCCCATTTCACCTCAGTACATTTTCTTTTCTGTTAACTTCAGTGAGAGCCTTGAATTTATTCCCTGCCCCCAGTCACTTTGTGGCTGTTGGTGAAGTCCCAGGGACAGGGCCATGAGTGTGGCAGATCCTACCAGGGAGCCAGAGGCCTAGATTCCCAAGATTGGTAGAACCTCGAAGCCCTTTTTGGTTCACAGAATTCTAGGGTTCTATGCTCTGTTTTGCCTTCTGGTCCTGAAAACAACCCTGCTAGGAAAAGGGAAGGTCCTTGGTTTGGCGCAGCTGAGGTGCTGGCCACATACACTGGAGCTGGTGGGTTCGAATCCAGCCCGAGGCTGCCCAGCATCAATGACAACTACAACCAAAAAATAGCCGGGCATTGTGGTGGGCACCTATGGTCCCGGCTGCTTCGGAGGGTGAGGCAAGAGAATCACGTAAGCCCAGGAGTTTGAGGTTGCTGAGCTGTCACAGCACTCTACCCAGGGTGACATAGTAGGACTCTGTCTTAAAAAGGGAAGGTCCTGAGCTGCCTCACTTGGTTGTAGCCACACTTTAGAAACCAAGAAAAGGGCTCGGTGCCTATAGCTCAACCGGCTAAGGCGCCAGCCACATACACCAAAGGTGGCGGGTTCGAATGCCCAGCCCGGACCTGCCAAACAACAATGACGGCTGCAACCAAAAAATAGCCAGGCGGGCGTTGTGGCGGGCGCCTGTGGTCCCAGCTACTTGGGAGGCGGAGGCAGGAGACTCGCTTGAGCCCAGGAGTTGGAGGTTGCTGTGAGCTGTAATGCCACAGCACTCTACCCAGGGGGACAGCTTGAGGCTCTGTCTCAAAAAAAAAAAAAAAAAAAAACCAAAAAAAGGTTTTAAAATCTTGATTGCACTTTAGTTGGGGGCGGGGTATAATTAGGCCCTGCGCATATGCCCCTCCCTGGGGCTTTTCATCAGAGTATATTGTTTTCCAGATGTTGTCACTGCAGTCTCTTTATAGCTTTGGGCCTTGGCACTTTTAAAATACAATCTTTTTTTTTTTTTTTCAGTTTTTGGCTGGGCTGGGTTTGAACCTATCACCTCCAGCATATGGGGCCAGCACCCTACTCCTTTGAGCCACAGGCACTGCCCTGAAATACAGTCTTTGTTGGAAGAGCTCTGCCCTCGCTTGAAAGGGGCCCATGAGTTTGCAGTGTCTGATTTAGTCTAAAATTCACAATGCCAGTGCTGTAGGTTACTGAGGGTAGAGTTACTTTGTTGAAGGGACTAGCCCCATTGGCTTTCTGAGCCTTCCCAGGAACTGAAAACTGGGAGTTCTTAAACCAGGTTGTCTTTTGCTTTAGTATCTGACAACAGAATAGCCCTTCATAGACTAGAAAAAGGAGAGATCAACCCTGAAAGTTGTTTGGAAAGTGAATATTATCTTAAGGAAAATAAGAGGATTGCTGAATGTTTTTCTGAAGTCATGTATGTTTTGACACCCAAGAGTCTTGAAATTAGAACCAAGTTATCTTTAAGAGTGTTTTTTGTCTTTTTAAAAATTTTTATTTATTTATTTATTTTATTATTTATTGTTTGCGATTCATTGAGGGCAAAGAATTAGGTTACACTGATTGCATTTGTTAGATAAAATCCCTCTTATACTCATGTCCCACCCCCAAGAGGTATGCCACACACTGGGACCTCCCCCCTGCCCCTCTTCCCCACTTGCTCATTTCCTTACCCCCTTTTGTATTAGCTCATCTACTGCCTTCACGTTAGAGTAGAGTACATTGGATTCTTGCTTCTG